GAGCTCCTGTGCAGCGGAGCACAGAGAGGGAGAGAGACGAAGTAAACAAACAAGCAGGAAAATGAAACTTATCGCCGTCTTTTTTTTACCGACCTCAAAAAAAGTTATCGTGCGATTAGTTGATTTATTGACTATCGCGACAGGCCTAGCCATTGTTGACCTAAAARGTGTGTAATTATAGTGACTGAAAAATTATTGAACAAATGAATAGCTACAAATTCAAAATGCAATGGCTGTTATTTCACTTTTCCTAATATGACAAATTGATGTAGTTAAATCGAAGTCAAATGCTTTTAAAAAAGTATTTACCTACCTTTTTTTAAATAACAGAAACATTATGTGAAAAATATAGGACCTCGCATGTATCTCATATTAAAAAAAGTTATCCTTTTGTAAAATAAAAATGTTTTAGAGTCTCATAAAGAAACAAAACACCTACAAACTGTACAAATTTGTGCACACTTGCCTATTAAATAAGATCTAAGCATCATTTTTACTTCTGTTTTGACAGCAGCCAAAATATTTTAGAAGCTCGCCCAAATGAATGAATTCCCTGAGATTCCACATTTTATACTGGATTCCACATTGTTTGGTAAATTCCACAATTCCTTCTGTCTGGTGGAAATCTTTGGGCCTTTGTATTAAGATGAAAAACAACCCTATGACAGATCAGGGAACAAACTGAAAATATATTTTGAGATTTTAGTTGTTTTACATGATGTTCTCCTTATTGTCACGTTGCTGCCTAATGCAGGTAATACACTAACTGCTCATAAAAAGATACAGAATAAAGCAACATAGAAATGTAAATCTTTAATTAGTTCTTTAAGTTTGTTGCATTAAACTGCAGWGGTGTCATTTTAATCACTGAAGGCAATGTGGCGTGGCATAAGTTGGCCTTTTTTTAATTACCTTACTAACGCAGCACAGTCAAGGATGGAGGAGCTTGCCCACATCCTGGATGCCACCCTGGAATGAATCTACGCCCACGGTCCGATCTSTACTTTGTAATGAGCAGGTAACATTCAAACGTCCTTCGCAAGAYTATGAGAAGGTTGGTGCATGCACACTTAACAAGACAACAAGGCAAAAACTTTGCCTTGAGCAGAAAGGCTGCGAGTTGATCTGTTTGGTTGAGTGGGCACGACTCATCATTTTAACTCTAGTTTAACCTCCTGCAATACAGATGCTGGAGAAATCGCCCATTACCTTTCCCTATGTCTATTTTCTATGTGCTGTTGATTTTTTTTTATTTTCTGTTAAAACAGAAGTCTATTGAGTAGAACCAGAAAACAAGACTAGCCTGCAGAAAACWCTAAACAAAGCCCAGAGGGTGCTTTCAGTCGCTGTTCATTATGTTACACTCTCAGCAACCTCATTCAGAAATAAAAATGAATTAATCATGTCATTAACAGTTAAGGGATGGCAATAAATCATAATGTGACCGTAGCTACTGCAAGGCACAGTTTGAAAATTAAGACTAATTATAATCTCCATGAAAAGTTGGAGACAAACAGCTTAAGGTGGCCTGCAGTAAACACCCACACAATAAACACAATCAAAATTAAACGCAAAAGTAAATCCTTGGCAAGTTCAGTCCCTCATAACCTTCAAATTAAACATGTTACAGAAGGAGTATTCCATATATTGTGGTAATAATGCTC